GACATGTCTCACTTTTCCTATTCATAACAACAGCAACAAAGGATGTCTACTTTGATCTTGCAATTATACAAAAACCCATTTCATTTTTTAAAAGCGAAATAGTTGAAAACTATAAAATAGCAATTGTTATGTTTCTACCTCAAGGGATAACAGTGTCAGTTCTTTTCCAAGAGAACTAAGGGTAGATATACTTCGTTTGCATCAGGGAAATTAATGCTGCCTGTTTTCTGAGCAAATTAAACCTTGGGTTTTCTAAGTAGGCAAGTTTTATGCTTATATCACTCTCATTTGAAAAAAAAATGAATGCTTTTAATATATTTCAAATTATCAATAAGCCATGATGGAAATATAAAAGCCAACAGTGGGAAGGGTCATGAAGACAGAGCTTCTGAATTAGTGGGATAGTCTGCCTCGTGACAGACTATCAGGCCAAATAGACTTTCACTTACGGGAAAATTTTATCTAAAGTTCATGGCAGCATTATGAACTGTACACTTAGCAAGAAATATTTCTAGTTTCTCTCACTGTTAATAAAAGTTTAAGCTGTGTGTTTGTTGCATACCTGTAATCCCAGCAGTCTGGGAGGTAGAGGTAGCTGGATCTCTGTGAGCTCAAGACCAGCCTGGTCTACAAAGAAGTTTAGCGTGAACTGAGGAAAATATTAGGAAATTAACAAATTCTCCTTGTCAGTGGGTTGTGCCCTGGGACAGGCAGTTTATATGAAAGCCATCTACCCCAACCTGTTTAGCATCACTCATATAGTGGCGATCATGGAGTAGATGCAACACTCTTGTCTTCAGTCTTCACAGTTAGTAAATATTTTGTATAGATAAAGAGCATAAAAACATCTGATCTCTGAATCCTCTGGAAAACTCCAATAAACCTGGATGTCTGCCAACAGTCTGGAGTCACTTAGCCAGGGGATGCTTCTGTAGCAATGCCACCCCTCATTTTCTGTCTCACAAAGATGGCATGGAGTCCTGAGCCATCATGGTCTACTTCTGGTCAGCCTATCACTGCCACTGACCAAAGACATCCACTCGTGCAGACAGTCCCGATGACCTGACTCACTGCTAGGCAGCCTTTACATAAATCAACTATTCCTCTGCTCATGAAGTTTCATCTCTAGTTATATGTAAACAGCTGATTTATGTGCTCACTGAGCAGAAGACGACAACCCTGTGGAGCCCCTTAACAACTGACACCAGAGCTGTACTCCAGATGCTTAATTCTTTTACTCCATTCATACTTTAACTCATAGCTACTATAGGGGGAATCACAGCAAACAGAAATAACACTGTCTGAACAAAAGTATTTGCCTGTTTGCATGACCTGTTTCATATTCATTTACAAGTCTGATAGCAACCAGATGTCCCACAACGATGACAAATTTAATTTATTTCCAATTTTTCAAAACTCTTCTACAGATTCAGGCAGCACAGTCACAGTCATTAGGTCACTGAGCTTAGCTGCATCATTGAAGGAATGGAATTGATCAGGCAGATAAATTGCAGTGCATGGGTAAGAGCCTCCTAAGAAGGAAGATGGCAGAAATCCAGATACCAAATAAATGATGAAATGGTCATTTCCATTAAGGGAACATCACATCATGGATATTAATTAGGAAGCACTGTAATAAAGTTAAGTGCATGTGGGAAAAAGTGCTGAGTTAAAAGTCACCCCAAATGTCCTTAGCTTGAGGTAATCACAAATCTGAAGGAAAGTCACAAATCTACAATTTTATATTCATTTTACAATAGCTGCAGATAAGTCAGAGATCCCTGATAATTGCGGAGTGACCCTTTTTTGGGTTGGGGACAAGTGATCTTAAGCAGGACAGGGATGGATGCAAGAGACAGAGAGACAGAAAGACACACACTGATGTTTTCCTTCTAATATTCCTAGGGAAAGTGACATCCCTTACTTACTATAAGAGAATTAAAGTAAACGAAGAAACTACCTTTGTATTTAAATGTTCAGTATTTTACCAAGGTTTATTAATCTATTTTTTTTTTTGAGAGGACGTAAATTCTTCTTGAAAATTGATGGGATATTTTGTTGTTAAGTTTTTAATTCAATTCCTCTAAAAATTGAAAATCTTTAAAAATGACCGTCGACATGTCAGTGACGGAGCAGTAAAAGCCTGGACTCCCAGAGTTCATGCACAGAGCAAGGCAAGTGTTCAGAGCCTTGAGATTACAACAGGCACCGGCAGCCCTCCCCTCACCTTTCCTTCTGTAATCTATATGCTTTCACCGCTCCCAGCAACTTCCCAATCTCACCCACTTTAGGTACCTACGTGGTAATCAACAATTATAGACAGACATGCAATATAAGAGCTGAAACAATGCTGAGAGTAAAGAGGTGGATCTTTCCAATTCAATACAATTTTGGAAACAACTTCAGCATTCTAGAAGAAATTATTCATGTTATTAACTTAAAGTAAGAAACTAAGACTGTAAGAAGAAATTCCTTTGCTGAGGTTCTAATCATAAGTTCCCACGTACGAAAATTAAATTTTGTTGTTTGTTTTACCTCACTAAACCATCAGATGATGTGATGTGAAGCCATTCTAAAAAGCAGCAAAATAACTTTAAAACCATAACTACCATGGAAACCAGCATCCCAGCAGCTGCCAGAGAATATGCAAGAGTGTTGACTTTCCTTCAAAGTCATATTTTCTAAGGATGATCATTAGACCTTTCCTCTGGGCAGATCTTATGCAAAATGCTGTCTTGACTTTACAAACCTGGAGTTTGCCCAGTGTGAAAAGCTTAGTCTCCAAGAGTTGGATGAGGACAGCATGGAGACTGCCTTAAGTGGTCACCATATAGGGCAAGCAATAAACTAACCAAAACGTCCAAGGAAAGCTGATAACAAGATGTCAACAAAGAACTTAGAGCTAGTGCATTTCCTGGGAATGCAGAACACTATGTGATACAAACACCCAGAAAAACCTGAGAAAGCCTTCAGCTTTCTCCACTGCCCAATTGTGAAGCTTCACAAAAGACAGAAGTTCAGGTTAAGCAGCATCTTAGCTGTGACCTGATGAAAGGTTGATGGTGTCAGCATGTACACAGAGCACTTTAGCAAAGCAGGAAGCTTACTGATTCCAGTCATTTAAGAAATCCACACAATCACTAGCTAACCGCTAATAAACTGAACTGAATCCTTAGTGATGACACTGAACAAACAGTACAGACTCCACAGAATCTGTGTAGAGAAGAAATGAGATAAACAGTAAAAGCTAGTAACAGTAACTCTGAAAAGGAAGAATCTAATTTCTAGGGTTGCTGTATTATTTAAAATGTTCAGATCCCATCATCAACTACAACACAGAATCCTAGACATGTGTAAAGAATAAGATAGAAAAAAAAAAAAAAAGAATAAGATAGGATGGATGGCCCACAGCCAGGAATAGAGTAGTCAACAGTAAACCAGTACAAGTCAGTTATTTTAAATATGTTGAAAGAACTGAAAAACAAACAAACAACAACAACAAAAAAAAAAACTTAGGTCTTAGTACTAAGGAAAGTACGTATGAGAATGATAATTCGTACACAGATATATCAGGGCCATGAGATGGCCCAGTGGTAAGATAACCTGTCATCTAGCCTGACAACCTGAGTTTGATCCCCACAACACACAGAGTGGAAGGAGAAAGCTGACTCCTGAAAGTTGTCCTCTGAGCTCCAAATGACATCATGGCATGTACACATGTATGCATGTACAAACAAACAATAAATAAAAAATAATTAAAAATTAAATGAAAAAATTATTTTCAAGTGTACCAACATATATACTACTTGGAAAGGAAAGAAGGGGGGCCCTGGGGCTGGCATAAAGAGCCTGCTACAAAGAAATTCTGAGTAAAACCCAAGTGAAAATGGAGGTATGGTGGCACATGCCTGCAATCCCAGTGCTGAGAAGGGACAGGCAAGTGGATCTCAGAGGGTTACTGCCAGGCAGCATAGCCTATGCTGGAAAAGAGGTAGACAGTGTTAGCACTTGAGGACAGCATCTGAGGATGTCCTCCAGCCTCCATGAACATACGAGCACATGTAAATATCGTTTTATGGCTATATGGGTACATAATCACACACACATACATTAAGGCAACAATTTAATAAATTTGATGACAAAACTAAATCTAAGCATTTCAGAAACTCAATAAACTCCAAGTAAAATAAAATTCACACCCAGAGAAATCATAAAATTGTTAATAGACAAAGACACCTGAGAGCAAATCAAAGAAGAAAATTAGATACTCTCCTAAAGGTTGTCTGCAAATTCTCAGAGGCCAAGAGTGTGGCATCAAGACTGGAGCTCAGTCCTGACTGTATCACACACCTCTCTGCATGGAATTCAGTTTTATGTATATCTGATATAAGTCATAGCAGACTTTTTTATAACAATAACCAAATTTTCCCATACAAGGAACTACAGTTTCCTATACTAATCTCAAAGCAACTACAGAAAACAAAATTCAGTTCTATAGTTTTAAAAAAAAAAATCAGTGACTGATTAAATGTTTTGGCTTCCTGTAGATATGTTCTTTTAGTTACTCAAATGAAAAGTGTCACTCAGATATTACAAAAAAATTTTTAATGGGAGATAAAATGTATTACTACTCAAGACGTTTTTAAGAAAACAACTATGAACAATAAGTTTCAACTATTAGATGAGGGCCAGCAAGATGGCTCAATGAACAGAGAAGTTTGCCATTGAGACTGATGACCTGAATTCAATTCCTGGAACCCAAATGTTAGGAGGAGAGAACTAACATCCCCAAGTTGTCCTATGACCTTCACATGAGCTGTGGCATGAAGCCAACCCCCTCCCACCAATAAATAAATAAACTGTAATAAAAATTAAATACTGAGTCTAATGGTCACAGAAAAGAAATGCCTTGTCTGGGCAGCTTTTAATCTTCATTGCAGGGATTCAATATGAGAACACTGTGCAGACAGACAGACACACACATACACATACACACTAACCTGTGATAATAAGACACTCATTGTGATCCAGCACCTCTGTGAAGAGCCGTGAAACAATCAACTCAGGATTGATTAAAAAGCGGATTTCTTCCTGTACAAGTCCTGCACCAGTCACACCACCTCCAACAAAACGATTTGCAAAATCCACCTAGTGGAGAAAATGTAGTATCTAAACAGTGCTTAAGACACCTACAGACATGACAAAGACACACACACTCTCTATTAATGAAAACCAGTGCCCAGATCTTCTTAAGGCATGACTACAGTAGCTTACTCCTTCCATCTCAGGACTGCTAACATCTCTGTAGATTTCTTTAGGTTTCCAAACTTACTAAGGGACCAGGAAAATGAAGTCTTTAGATAAAATATTAAATAAAAACCTTGTCTGTCTCGAGTCGTTAAGTCTTAGCTTACCCTGAGGTTTCAAGGTCATTTCCCTACATCTATTATTCATCCTCCCTTTGTCTATTTTAAGTGACTTCAAGCAATCAAACCTTTATTTTCAGCAGTTGTTTTTGTTCTGTGGAAGAAAAAGGATAGTGGTTTGTTTGGTGTTGTTTTTAAAATTATTATTAATTACACAGTTTATTCACTTTGTACCCCAGCTGTAGCTCCTTTCCCTATCCCCTCCCAAGCCTGCCTTCCCTGCCTCTTCTTCTCCTATGTCCCTCCCCAAGTCCAATGATAGGGGAGGTTCTCCTCCCCTTCCATCTGACCCTAGTCCATCAGGACAGGCTTCTTTGTGTTCCTCTGTGGACTCGTAAGGCTACTCCCCCATTTTGTTTTTGTTTTTGTTTTGTTTTGTTTTGTTTTTTTAAGGTTGTTCGAGACAGGGTTTCTTTGTGTTGACCTGGCTGTCCTGGAACTCACTCAGTAGACCCTGGCCTCAAACTGCCATCTGCCTCTGCCTGCTGAGTGCTGGGATTAGAGGTGTACACCACTGTGGCCCAGCAAGAGATAAAATTTTTGTTCCAAATTAAACCCTAAGCCAAGCTGCATGAATACTACCAACTACTTTAAAACTATATCTAATAAAAGGGAAAATAAAATCCAGTATAAGAAAAAATATAATTTTATTTATATATGTAATTCAGTCTGTACGTCTACATTGGCATGTCTGTTCCTGTTTCAGGATGTAGGCAAGCGTTCTATAGAATGAAAGCCCAATTAGCTCCTGAAGATTCATGATCCTCAAAGGAATGCAAAGTCAACCTGCTGCATTACTTCAGTTTTAGACTGATTATTTAGATTACTTAGACTGTTTAGATTATTCTCAAGAGTTAGAATATATATCATATAAATATATATAATCATACACAGGTAAAACAACTTATCATGAACTGTAAGTAGTTTTTCAACTACTATAAAATATAAGATCTCTCAAAACTATTCATATTTTCTAAAACAGTGAAATGAAAATATGAAGCCAATTTTATAGAAGAGTAGAGCAAGAATACAAATCTTATATTCAGCAAAAAATATGAAAAGTCAGGGATTAACAAAGAACAATATATTTTTATATATTATATATTTCACCTTATATACTTTCATATTATATATATTTGTTTTGTTTTTTACACATAAGATCTTAGAAAACCCTGACAAATCCTGACAAATTACTGAAATGAGTATATAGAAAACCACGTATTTGAGATTGTACTCCAGAATACTAAAACTGAAAATAAAAACCCAGAATACTTATTCATCTTATATAGAAAAAAAAAAAAAAAAGATTTTGGTGAAACTAGTCTATTGACTAATTACCTACCTACATATGAGTTTTCTGGAAGTGGATGATGTGTCTTAAATATTTATCAAGCATTATACTGGGAACCAATGGGATACACAAGTCATGTAGGTCCTAGGACTGGAAGTAGAACTGGATGCGCAGCTAGCCGTGAAACAGTACTTGTCTGGCACATGCAAGGATCTGAGTTTTATCCCCACTGCCACAAAAAGAAATTCAAAAGTATGTGGCCTCTGGCCTCAAAGGATTTGCAATCTAGATGGAGTTCAAGTACACAAGCAGAGAGATTATATAATTAATAATGAAGCTCTGAGGATGTATGCTATGCTTTCTCAATAATGGAATGAAGTACAATCTGAGCACAAAGAGGACAATGCAGCTTTACAAAAGGAAGCAGCATTCAATTCTGAGATGGCTGACAGGCTGAGGAGAAATAAAATACTGTGTGAACAACTGCTGGAGAAGACTGTAAACAGCTTCCCCATCATTCCTAAAATGTAGAGGGTATCAAACACGGGGATAGAGATGATGATATAATATATCATCATCAGTATACAGAAGTTTTTAGTCAAATTTTGAGGTTCTGGGAAGGATTCATTTAGCAACTTAGACAAGTATTTTATTAAGATAACTTGGCACAGTCTTAGTTTCAAAAATATACTGGAAGGATGTAAAATTAACTATATAGCTACTGAATAACTGCGAGGGTCTCAAATAGGTCTGTGGTAGAATGTAGGAAAGAGAAGAAACCTAGCAATTTCAAAAATAAAATGGATAGATTTGAGAAATGCTAACTAACTACCAGCTACATGACCATCATTATGTTTTTACGAATATAAATGGGGTTTGATATCAATATAACTTGATTTTTACTGGAATCAGGCACATAACTGAAATAAGAAGATATGACCTATTAAATTTACACACTATGTGATAATAATTATGAAAACATACCATGTGATATTATTGTTTACTCTTTGACAAAAAAAGACCAAAGACAGTCATTATATGAAAGGTGGACATATAAATACACTATTAAAAAATAAACAGAAACCTAAGCTTCTAGTATTTACAATGTTTTTAATAAAGGGCTCTCTGTAACAGGTGAGAAACCTGCTCCAGTACATGAATAAAACCACATGAGTTGTTCTTAATGTTTAGCCAGTCATTTTCTAAGTCTTACTTTAAAGGTACTTGTTCAGATTACTCAGCTGCATTGTGACTTGATGAAAAGAGAGAAATGATAACACTCCTTACAGAGGTTTTGTTATTGCCATTCAACATAATATAATTTATACACTGCATAACAAGCTTTTGGAGCACTGCAATACAATATTCCCTGTTCTCCTGGGGAGATGTAGCATGGGTAGAAAGAGCAATTAATAGTGCCAGAAGCCTTTAGAGTAATCTTTTAACCTACCAAGGCCCCACATTTCACCTACAATATATTGCAGGCAGGTGGGGAGAATCTCAACCCTGACTGTTGGTAAATGATTTCTTGTCGAATTGTTCCGTAACAAGAGGTCAACATTCCTGTGGTGCTAACTAGCATTAGCATTGCTTAGTTCTTAGGTACATTATACCTCCCTCATTTTATCCAAGACTTTAATGTAGGAAAGGACTGCAAAAAGAAGGAAATGCAGCAAAAAGTGATATTCACTGCAACAATTTTTAAGCACGCTGAAAATTTATTTTTCAAGAAGAAGAAAAATTATGATTGTTTTTTTTTAACCATGAAGAATAGGGGTGTGTGTGTGTGTGTGTGTGTGTGTGTGTGTGTACACGCACATGTGGTGTTTGTTTGAGACAGGGCCCTGCTATATAGCTCAAGCAGATCTTGAACATGCTTTGTTTTGAACTTGCAGCAATCTTCCTAAATACAGGCATTACAGACATGTGTCACCACATCCACCTGAAACAAACTATAACTGGATAATATAAAGAATGCCTACAATCCTGGTACTCAGAAGACAACGGCAGGAGGGTCATAGGGTTAAGAATACCATGGATTATAGAGTGAGTCTAATATTAGTCTGAGCAACACAGTGAGAACCTGTCTTACAAAAACTAAAATAAACAGCAAAAAGAGCATGCTTCTTTTTCAGATGTTATGTATTAATATGCTACATGAAAATTTGTTGTAGAAACTATACAAAATTTTAGTTACTTTGGAACACATGTCTTTGATCTCATTAAGCTTCTGTCTCAGACCATCAAATGTTAAAATTTGAGGCCTAGCTTTTTAATCATCATTTAATTCAGGTTTTGGGGAAGAGATCATAGAAACAACTTCATAACAAAGGTTAAGGAATACCTAGGATTACCTGATTTTCCACAGGGAAAAGACAGCACAAATAGCTACATCTGTACTTTCAAAGTGTTCTATTTGGGAAAGAAGTCTGTTCTATCAGTCAGTCTTAGTTGTCTGCCTCCTACAACCAAACAAGGCTTTTGGTGGGATACAAATATCTCTAAGTAGTCATGATTTAGGGCAAAAAAAGCCTGTAAAGGAAAAGAACAAAACTGCCTACTGACAGCTTGTCAAGACTATACCCTGGGAATTTCATCCTCTGTCAACCCACTATCAATGTCTGAACCAAGAGGACTGATGTTGTCCAGATCTTGGGATTTCCTGTCAAAAGCTTTTATAAGAGACACACGAGCATACATGGGCAAACGGCAGCTGTCAAAAGTGATCTGTTTTGTGGTTTTCTCCTTACCTTTTTGCATTAAATCAATTTAGGAGACAAACAGGAAGAGTCTTAAATGTATACATTCTTCTGCTATTTACCTACCTGTAGCATGCCTCGGCCATTGCCTTCTATGGTACCCTCGTAAGTGACATGTAATCGTGTCAGAGGTTTTTCACATCTACAATGTAGAAGGTATTTTCTTAAGGTATGTAATTCACAACACATAAGTCTGAATATACAAATGACTATGAACAAGCAAACAAAGGAAACAACCCTGAATCTAAAGCCAGAAATAAATGTTAACATTCCCAGTATGGATCCTCCTATTTTTTTTTCTCACTAAAACATGCACATTTGCATTAAAATGGGACACAATGTTATTTTCCCCTACATAATATTGAGTTAAAAAACTGTCTCAAGTTACCAAAATGAAAATATATAAAATTTTATTATTATGCTCGAGTTTGCAATCTAATATGAAAAATTCGGCAATTACCTGCATGGTTCTTAGATGGGCCCTATGTTCACTAGTTTGATAACTAATGCATAGAAAGGGGTGTGAGTGGGATTCTGGTCTACAGAATTTCTATATTAAATTTTTATATTAAACCTTAGCATGTGTAAGTAAGTAACTCAGAAAGCACAATTATTTTCTTTTTCTTTCATGAACTACAGTTACTGAGATATTGGCCTGTATTATATCAAGTTGTAATTTTATTGCAGTAACCACATTTGAAGATGTTATTTTTTTCGTGGTGGATTCCAATCACCCCTCCAATTGCTTACTGAATGAAAAACTCAAGCTATATTAGGATATAACAGAGAGGAGACTCAAGCTAACTTAAATAGTATTCCTAGAATGTTTCTGGAATAGGTGGTGAATAAACACACAATCACACTCTCATTCCTACACACCCACAGGAACACACACCCTCACCCACAATTTAGAAGTACTAGTTACTGCTGAGACTTACTAACATTTTAATTTTGAGCCCATAAATATTTGTGGCCAAACTCTACTATAAAGGACAAATAAGTTTAACATATTTAATACAACTTCTGTTCTAAAACTTTTATTTGAATTAACTCAGTTAATTATCAGAATAACCTCCACTGTATAGATGGAAAAGAAAAGTACAGAAAGCATTTAATTGATTTACTTAAGCTAATAAATAAAAAGCAGTAGAGAGTTGCCTCTCATTGATCAAAACTGTTAATAGTATATCACGGTTTTAGAAAAGATCATATAATCTTTTGAAGAAAGTCTGTAGGTTCGGGTTAATGATAACTATTAAATTTTTGTTTCTTTGTTTTGTTTTCATATGTATATGTGGATGGTGCCTGAGTGCCACAACACTTACGTACAGGTCAGAATACAACTTGTGGGAGCTGGTTCTCTACTTCACTCATGTGGGTTCTGGGAATGGGATGCAATTAGTTTTTTGATCTTTTTTTTTTTTTTTTTTTTTAATTTCCCTTTCATAGTTGTAGTTTCCTAGCCATTTTATTCAAAGAGAGTATGCCTATGAGGATATGACTGGAAAGACAAAGGGGCACGATCTGGAAATCTGTGAGCTGTCAATCAGGAGTACTATGGTTGGCAGTATTTCTCCAAAACTGAAGCTGGCAACTATGTGTACCAACCAGTTCCCACTGTAATTAGGGAATGGCTACATAAATGGCGTGGTTTGTTTGAAAATTCCTTTAACTTCCTAGTAGCTCTCCACTTTGGTCTCTGCAAATACTCTACACTCTTGAGCCAAGAACCAAAGACACAGACTATGGCTTTCTGTGATTAACCAAGTCTAGGAAAAGTATATGCTAATAATCGAGTCAAATGCTCAGTTCTAGGCACCACATTTTAAGAGAAATCAATGAAATCAAGATATGTCAAAGGTAAGTTTATGTTTCAAAATAAGTTAGTATAGACTTCTGTCAATGTAAGAAGTAGAAGAAAGCACTTTTAAGATATTAAAAAAAAAAAAAGTTCAAATGTTGAAGAACTTTACAAATCAGAATCACTAGTTGTAGTGCCAGAAAAAAAAGAATAACCTAATGGGGTAAGGGACTTAGTTAAGACATGATTTAGGTGAAATAGAAGGTTAGGTACTAAGTAGCTAACAATGAAGGGACCGAGTTAAAATAGTGAGTTTCCCTTCAATGAGCCGTATGGGCTCCACCTACTGAAAGGACAACTGAGTCGCTGGCATCTACTGGGCTCCCCGGCCCTTCATCTCTAACTGCCATGGTTCCACGCAGATTTCTTTCCTGGCTTATGATCTCTCCATGTTCATGTTGTTTACTTCTATCTACTTCTCTCTAGTAAGAATCATTCCACTCATGCACTTAAGTCTTTTGAAGTTCTTCTTCCATCTCATAAATAAACATCTCCAATGACCAAAGTATCACCTAAGCAGACTGGTCCTTTCAAATTAACTAGCATAAGAGCCATTCTCCCCATCACTGATTCTGAACAAAATTACAAACTATGAAAAAACAAAAACAACAACAAAAATGAAAGAAACTCTCTTCTCCTCGTCCTCCTTGTTTGTTTGTTTGTTTGTTTGTTTTTCAAGACAGTTTCTCTGTGTAGCCCTGGCTGCCCTGGACTCACTCTGTAGATCAGGCGGGCCTTGAACTCAAGAGGTCCACCTGCCTCTGCTTTTCAAGTGCTAAGATTAAAGGCCTGTACCACCACCACCCAGCCAAAAGACATTTCTTAACATGAAATATATACCTAAAATGCACACAGTCTAAGTTTTCTTATATCTTTTTTTTTTTTTTATTTAAAAAGCTGGCCCATTTTCTTTAATCATTAGAGATTTGCTTTGGATTAGGAAATGTATTAACTATTTCAGAGTATTAAAGTTTTACAAATGTGGATTAACTGAGACTGGCTATCACTCTGTTCAGAATTTCCAGATAAAACATATGAAGAAAACTATAATTAGTGAGGAATCCACAAAATCTGTCAATTTTGCACATAGAAAATCAAATCTCAAAATTCCTGACATGCCAATTCTAAAACATAGTAAATGCAATGTTTCTCTGTATTGTCCTCCAGGAAGAAAATCTATTACAATATAAACACTGACTGCAAAAGGGTGTCAGGGAGAACATGGATGTTCCACTTAATAGCAGCATCTTCACATATAAAACCCCTCAATTCTAAACAAAACATGTTCCAGAAGGCTAACAAAGTCATGCATGAGAATGTTATTAAAGGACACATTAATAATAATAATAATAATAATAACCATAGAAGAGTCATTGTTCGGGAAGAAATTCCTTATATATTGGGCACTCAAAAATTGAAAATGCATTTTCCTAGGCTAGAGAGATGGTTCAGAGGTTAAGAGCGCTGGCTGTTCTTCCAAAGGTCCCGAGTTCAATTCCTAGCAACCACATAACCATCTATAGTGAGATCTTGTGCCCTCTTCTGGCGTGCATGCACACATGCAGACAGAACACTTTATAAATAATAAATAAATAAATCTGAAAGAAAGCGAGAAGGGAAGGAGGAAGGGAGGGAGGGAGGGAGGGAGGGAGAAAAAAACAAAAGACATCTTTCCAAGAGCTGTAAAAGAGAATCAGTCCTCTCATGCTCAAACAGACCCTGTAATTCTAAAGTTGACGGTTCATTATTACCTTTCCCATTCTGGAAAATCCTCCAGACTCTGTCTTGTAAATGTCACCAATCCAGTAGGTTCTACAGAAGTAATAAAAGACACACACACACACACACACAAAGTATTAATTTCTAATTTAAATATACTTAACCAAAGAATATGACTACCAACACCTACAAAAGCAGGCCCAACACCTATAAAAGCAGGCATAGTGGTGTGTGTCTACGATCACAGCACGGGGGGAGGGGTGGAAGCAGGAAGGTCAGAAATCCATACTCATTTCCAGATGATACTCATTCTATGATCCACTAAATCTGTAGATGGTGAGTCCTTGGATACAGAAGATCAGTTATACAGCAAAGTAACAATGAAAAATATCTAAGACTTAGAAGCTAACTTCTGGGTGTACCCTTTTAGACCATGTCACTGGGCTTAGATGTCAGGCAATAGCTCTGCTCAGATACATAGGCATTTTACCAGAAGGAGGAATTTTCGTGTTCTAGGAATTTAGGAAAAAAAGATAATCTGTTTTCAAAAAAACCAATATATTTAAAAGAATCAAAATTAAATATTACTAATGTAAATAATTTTGGAGAAAAAAATGTTGGATTACTGGGTTTTGTTTGTTTGTTTGTGTTGTGTTGTTTTGCCAGTCAAAAGCAAAAAATTAATCAGCTGGCCAGAAGTAATTTGTCTGCTTCAGATTAAAGAAGAACAAATTAAAAGGCTGATGCCATGTTTGCTTTCTTCTGGGGGAAAAGGGGCCCTTAAGCAAAAGAAGGAGATGTCAGAAACTATTAGTGGTTTTGGTTTTAAGTCCAGTGAAAGCTCAGCAATAATTTCATTCTTTCATTCCTGCGGACAATTCTGCATTTCTCTACTCCCAGTAACATACAGAACAACTCAAATATTATAGAGGCCAGTGGTATTAGAACTAGGACTTTTTGTTAATACAGATCTTAAAATAAAATAATCCTTAGATTATTTAAGACAAATGCACAGCATACTTAAAGCTCACAAGAAATTAAGTAATCCAAACATCGGAGAAGCAATATATATACATATATATTTATAGATACACATACACATACATATACATATGAAACTAAGGCATATCTTATCATTCAATTCTTCAGCAGAGAAATGGAATCGTTAAATATGATTTACACATAAGAGAGACTTAAAAAAATGCAGACAAAGCAAATAAAGGAGAGAATGACATGGCTCTCCAGCAGAACTAGAAATATGTCTTCAGAGCATGTCTGAGTTTTCAAGTTTTAAATATTTAACCTGTAAGATTCTTTATTTCTAAACTATATAAAATAATTAATTCAGAAGACTATTACAGCTTATACTCCTGAAGTCCTCATCATGAATATTAAATACATATGTTTAACCAAATTGAGAAGTAGGTCCTGTTAGAATTATGTCTTGTCCATTCTAAAGCTAGGTTTTATTTTGTTTTCTTCCATATTGATGCTAAATTGATGAAACTAGCACACTATTTTACAGTGGAGCTCCCAAGGCAGTGGTCTAGATTAAAACAAAACTTTCCCCCAAAAGGTTGGTGTGCAGCGTTGACTTGAGATTGGATCAAATCCTGTTGCAGGTCTATGCAGAACAACTGGTAGTAGGATTCCAGGCCTGGCTTGTAGTTTATAGATCAATTCTCAGAGATTCTCCTGTTACTCTACCAAGAGTCACAGCAGAGATGTGTAATTTTCTGCTATCTCCTTTCTGCACAGCCAGGTTGATTTCTCATTTATTCTTGACCAAGAGCACAGATGTGCCAGTTTTATATGTCAGCTCACCTATGACAGCCTTCTATTTTTGAGTGTCTTTTCCTTAGAGACACATAATGTGATAAAACTTCCTACTATAGATGAATTTGGAGTTTAATGCACTATGGTACTTTAATCCAACTTCTGAAGTGTATGTACAGTAAACTCCAAACTCTACTCACAAGCTTTTCATTCCCTTCAGCCATTGGAGTTACATCAACACCTAGAGTAACACACACCGTTACCTCTGCAAAGAAGTAAATTACTATGCACAGAGGGAAAGGGGAAGAAAGGAAGCATTTGCTTATCTAATTTTTGTTTTGTTTTGTTTTGTTTCAAGACAAGGTTTCTCTACATAGCCTTGGCTGTCCTAAAACTCACAGAGATCCACCTGCTTCTGCCTCCGAGAATGCTGGGATTACAGGCATACAACACTACACCCAACTAAATTTACACATTTATATATAATTTATTTCTTCAATCCAAGTCCCAAGGCTTATAAGTGTTTATATATTTCTAGTTAAACAAACAAAAGCTTCTAGATTTTTTTCCTCAAATTAAATGACGTCTTAAATTTAAAGAAGATAGCTAAGTAAGTTAGCTTTTAGAAAAGGAATAGATGATTTGATCCTCAGAATAGAAAAGACAGCTTTCAATTACATATTTATATCTAAAGCATGTTAATAAAAATAACTAGCAGCTTGACACTACATTGAACTACATAATTGTAATTCTAGAAATTAAAGGTGGGGATAGAAGGACTCTGAGTTCAAGGCCAGCTACACAGTGAAAATTCTCTCTCTGTGTGTATATGCACACGTGTGTTTATTTATCTTCATCTGTTTGTGTGTGTAAGCCAGAGAACATATGGTATTCCTTAGGCAATGCCAACTTCTATTCATTTGTTCGTTCGTTCATTTGCCCGTTCGTTCATTCAAGACAGAGTCTCTCACTGGCCTAATAAGCTAGGTTGGTAGCTCGTCAGGTATGCTCGGTTGGCTGGCCAGAGAACACAGAAGATAGCCTGTCTCATTCCATTGCAGGGATTACATGTGTCAACCACCACTCTGGCTTTTTTTCACATGGGCACTAGGGAATCAGCTAAGATCTTTACCAGACCTTTATAAACTCCCCAGATCATAGGTCACATTTTAAACAAATCATCACAAATTCTAATTTAGTTGTGTATTTTAATAAGACTGAACAATCCTGCATTTTTCTTAATATTTCTTTCAGTACAGGGTGCAAAACTAAGTAAGCTATAAACACTATTTTATTAAGAAAAAATACGGTTTTCCCTTTAAATACCAAATCTTCTTCACTAGACTTCGTTCTACAAATCTGACCAACATTTAGCAACACTGTATTTAAAGGGGTAAATGACCTTAAAATGACTTCAAGATGTGATTTAAGACAATCCCACAAGCTGGAGGACTAGAAAGGAAGAAAGCTAATTTTACTTGACCAGAAGAGACCTGACTTTTTCAGCAAATCTGGTTTTCTTGTACCTTGTAAGAAAGTCTACCTACTGGTAATAGTTAACATAGTAAGCATGTATCTTCTTGCTTAATAGCTGCATCTACCTATGAAGTAGTTATAATTCTCTCATAGATTATAATCTGCTTCAGGAAAAGTGAAATAGAAAGGCCCACAGAGAAAGACAGACATGTGTACACTAAGTGTGACTCAGCGTCAGAAGCACCCTGAGCAGGGCTTAAGTGGATATGCTGATATAAACTAGAGACAAGCTGGAAGAAGGAATTTCAGTTGGGGAATTCTCCAGATCAAACTGGTCTGTGGCCATGTCTGTGGGCGACCACCCTGCTTAATGATTGAATGGTAGGTCTGGCCTACTTTGGGCAGGACCTGGGCAGGTGAGCCTAGGCTATAGAAGAAACTGAGCCTGTAAGCAGTGATCCACCATGGCTTCTATTTCAGTTTCTGCTTGAACTCCCTTAGTGATGAACTGTGACCTGAAGTGTAAGCTAAAGTAACCCTCTTCCCCAGGCTGCTATAATGTTTATCATAGTTACAGATATCAAACTAGGACAGCGGGATAGGAAAGAGAGGAATGAGAGGAAAAATGAATGACTTGACCTATGAAAATTAAGCTAGCTAATGCTTCTTTAAATAAAAAGCATCCTTAGTGTATTTTCCAGTCATTTTACTTTCCTTTGAAAGTCATTTTGAGTCACAACAACCGTTGGGTGTGTATTTCAAAGTACACAGGTCTAATTTCAGCTATTACAGTACACATTTATGTCTACACATAAACATCCTGTAAAATCTAGGATATCACATTAAATCATCACTATCTAAATATCTTTGAGCAATTATACTGCAAAATACAAATTTCTTAGGTTATTTGATTTGACTTTTCACCATCAGCAAGAAAAATTATAGTAATGAATGAAAGGAATTTACTTTTCTCTGTGACTCTTCGAAAGTAGCAGAAGAGCGTTTTCAGCTTCTCTGGTTTTCGTGATGAGCGTCCTTCAAACAACCTGAAAGTATCCACGAGTAAAGGGTTAAAACGTCTTTGTGATTCATAGACACCAAATTTCTATTCTCAATCAAACACTAAAAACAAATTCTTCCAGAAGGCAGTCCTGGAACTTTGGAGAGCCAGAAAACTGATGTGGATTCAAAAGGCACCTAGGAAAAAATTAACCTGGCTGCAAACAGCTCCTTCAGAGCAGCTGAGTTCACAGTGGTGCTCTTCTTCCACCTTTTCCTCAGGAACAAGGCACTGTCACATCCCCAGTGTCAATTAGGGCCAGGCAGTTAATGTCTTCATGGCACGTGCTTTTTATAATGCACAATATTACTAAGCAGTTATGTGACTAAAAAAAAAAAAAAATGGCATCTCAGAAAAATCGTCATCCTGAGTATTTATAATAAAGTGAGGAAGTATGAGAGTCAAGACACAGACGGCTATGACAAGAAACTGGGAACTGAATGAGCAGTCTTTGGTAATTAAACAGATTCTGTTCTAAACTGGGTGTTTCTGTTTTCCTAATATTCCTAATGTATTGAATACAAAATTCCCAACAAAGTTCTATTTGGAGATAAGGCCTGTGAGGCCGTGGAAAAGGCTGAGATGAGATGAGAAGAGTCTAAATCCTGTAGGATTAGGGCCCTTATAAAAAGAAGAGGCAGCAGGTGAGACTGGGAGAAGGCATGGTCTACAAGACACGAGGAAACCTCACCTCAAACTCAATCACCAGCATCTTGATCAGGGATGTCTAGGCCCCCCCAAACTGTCAAAAAATAAATTCTGTTGTTTGAGCCAAACAGAGTTTGTTTTAGCATTCTGAGTTAATACAGATCCTTTGCTTGGTAGCAAAACCCAAGCCTTCTCTGTACTGCCCAGTATTCAGCAACCCCGATTTGCACTGTTTAATTCTGTTTTCTTTGTCATGGCATGGCATTGTTATTGTTAACATGTAATTCAATTTATCCGGAGAAATGCAGGGCTTTAGAAGCATATGACCTGAGTAAGTAGTTTCATTATAAGCCTTCACACAAAAGCACATTTTTGGGCATAAGACCTAGCTTTCCAAAGGCATTTAAAAAGCATGTGAAGATTCAGTGGCTATAAATAATGAAGATTCTCTGCCCCTAGTCATATATTCTGCTTTTAAATCCAGAAAGCCTTCAAGTAAAAATCTTCTCTAGTAAGTGGTAAAATGGGTACCATTTTTCATGATTAGAAGAACAATCTTATGTAAGAATATAGAAAGGGGCAAGACAATTCACAGAAAATGTAAGAAAATGGAAAGGAAATACAGAGAAGGAGTCTACATAGAAGGATCTGAATTCAGAGTCAACTTCTAGAGAAATAATTTGTATGATCATTACCTAAAAGGGATGCCAATACTGTACAGTATTTTACCTAACATATGGTCTGCTCTAAAAAATAATTTAACAGTACATATAAGATAACTTTTATTCATTTCAGATTTGTTGTTCTAAAATACTTACTATAAACATGCTTACATCTAACTGGCAGCTAAAAGGAGACTAAAAAGATTTCAGCCTGATCTCTTCTGTACTACTCCAACTACACAGTCTGTTTAAATAAAAACGACAGTGGAGATGAAGAAGTCACAAACATCCTACATCAATAAACATGTTTACTAAATGAATACCTTGGTTTCTATACAAAATCCCTTTCTAAAATTACTACTTAATAGAAGAAAGGAGTATGTATATATAGCCGCCTTTTTTTTTTTTTTTTTTTTCCTTAGGGACAAACAGATGTACTATTCAATTCAACTAAGGGGAGAAGTTCTTTTATATGACTATTACAGAAAGAGGAGAAAATGACTACTGCCCTTACTGAATAATTTCCCCAAAAGGAAAAATGTCCCATATATTGTCAGGTTCTTATAAAATCACATAAAAGCTCTCACATTTCATTACCATAATTGTAAATTATTAACCTTAGTAGTTCCCTGGGATCACAGACTTATTATCCTAGCAATATGAACTTTTCTAGAACATTATATGGTTATTATTACCAGTACAAACAAATGTAACATTTTATTTTACAAACTTAAATCTTAAAGGTACAGAGCTGGGCACGGTAGTTCATGGCAGATCATGCCAGCACTTGGGATTGCATGAAGATCTAGAGTTTTGTGAGTTCAAGGCTAGCCTGAGCTACATGACAATGTCTCAAAAGAACCAACTAGCCAGCCAACCACCCAACCTCAAATTCTAAGTTTCAGTAGTATAAATCAAGCAGTATTTGAATGTATTACATTTACTCACTATTCCAAGCCCAATTCAAATTACTGTGTAACCAATAAGCTTTCTCATATTCTTTTATGTAAATGCCAGTTTTCTTTCTAAAAACTTATTCTTATGTGTGTGCACGCATAAGAATGTGTGTACAACTGCACAAATGTCACGGTGTACAGAGGTTAGAGGACAACTTTGGAAGCCGGTTCTTCCCCTCTACTATGGGATTAGGGCAACTAACTCAGATATCAGGATTGTATGTCAAACACCTTTCTTACTGAGCCACTTCAGTCATCATGGTCCTCCTCCTCCTTCATATACAGCCCTGGCTGGCCTGGAACTTGCTACATAGACCAGGCTGGCCTCAAAAAATAAAAAAGATCCATTTGCCTTAATAAAAAAGATCCATTTGCCTTATTCATTAATATCTGCCTCAGAGAGCTGACATTAAAGATGTGCACCATCATATCCTGCATTTCTCATTTTCTCACAGGGCTAAGAAGGTTCTCTCTCACACACACTTTCTCTTTCTGTGTGTGTCTGTCTCTGTCTCTGTCTCTGTCTCTCTCTCTCTCTCTGTGCATAAGTACAGTCAATCAGGAGAAACAGGTTTAAAATCTTTGTTGACAATTCTCCAGTTTGTTTCCACTCTGCATAACCACTCAAATAAAATGAATTACTCTATTTTTGCATCGTGGAAAAAATAGTAGAATTTATAGGAAATAGACATGAAAAATGTTATCATAAGAATGATATACAATGGCTGGAGAGCTGGCTCAGAGGTTAAGAACCCTCATTCTTTCAAAGGTCCTGTGTTCAATTCCCAGCAACTACATGCTGGCTCATAACCAACTATAGTAAGATCTGGTGTGCAGGCAGAATGTTGTATAAATAATAAATAAATCTTAAAAAAAAAAAAAAAAAAACAAAGGAATGATATACAAGCCTGACAGACATGGGCCTGGGAATTGAGAGGATATGAGACAGATGCAAGGACAGAAAGACATTCAAGGAGAGAGAGAAAGAGGGGGTCACTAACAGTTTTCAAGTATCACCCAATTTTAAACTTCCCAACCCCTTTTTGTCTAATGTAGATATTTCAAAGTTCTGAGAATATATATCTGAAGTGCATTTTTCAGTCAGAAATATATATGCAAGTTTGTACATAAGCCAGGCCATAATAATCCTTGGCCATGCAGGATACACATTTACACATCTCATTACATGATAATTACAGATTAATTTTTTAAAAGCCAACAGAAAAAAGCTAGTCAGGCAACCTAACTTTGTTCTAAACAAACAAAAAAGAAACATTTTGCATTGTCAAGGGAAGAAGTCAGCAAAGGGTCAGATAGTTATTAATGTGTGTTTTTCCTTCCATACTTATATAGAAACATGGTTAAATGAAACCTTCCCATGAGTGGAAATACTGAAAAACATTATTGGAATTAGATTTCACACACACACACACACACACACACACACACACACACACACACACCCTCTCTCTCTCACTCTCTCACAGACACACAGCTTTAAATTAAGAATCAATGCCATTGGTATATAGTAAATCAAGTCGAAAGTACTATAACCTCCACTTTAAAGCACAAGCAAATGATACTATGGGATCTAGCCAGAAAGTTTCCTGGCTCCTTTATGAGGCACTCTGCCATATGGCCCCAGCAGCATTTTCAATTCAGGGAAGTGGCAGATGTAAAAGCCTCCTGGGCTGCCCACTGCTGAGACTCACAATTTATCTCTGACCATCTAGTTTCCATGTGATTTCAGAAGCATCAATGCTAATCACATTGGAAGCCTTTATATAAACGTTCAGGCTGAAAAAGGCAAGCAGGGGAAAAGGTCAGAGGTATTTAACATAACTAAGCAGGCCTGGAAAAACACAACAATAAATAAAAGAAAGAAGGCTTATTCAATTTATTGACGTCAGCCACCCACCACATACTTTGACCATTTTTCTTATTCAATCAAGTGGCTAGCCATATCTCACTTAGGACAGAATACACACACACACACACACACACACACACACACACACACACACACTTCTGAACTGCCATAAGTTATAAAGTATATACAAACCAGCACTCAAGGGAGGAAGAAAGGAGCGACGGAGGGAGGAAAGAAAGAAGGCGGGGAGTGAAAGAGAAAGGAAGGGAGAGGAGAGTAATACATAATTGGTTTAGAAAATGGTTTATCATACTTGATCTTCTAGAAGCATAGGGAAAAGGGACTTTGTTTTGTCTTTCATTTCTTGAGCATTCTCAGAGCACTCTGCTTTTGTAAGACGTGAGCAGAATACAGTATTCAAATCACTCAAAAATACTCGTTCTTTCCACCCTTCATGAGGTTCTCTCTGAAAACATACCGATTGAAGTTAATGTCTGGGTAAGTAGAATACTCTGATTTCATCTTGGCATTCCGTCGGGGGAACGTACAGAAGAAAGCGTTAGCTAAAAGACTGGCGATCTGTTCCTGCGACATTGTAATAGAATGATTCATCTTCTGTTTCAGAAGTGGTAGTGGCTGATGAAGGAAAACAAAATACAGATGAGAAAAGCAATAATTAGTTTAGCAATTCTGAAGACAGAGGTACCAAATTGCATTTTCTAAATTAAGGCAGGAATAATTTCAAGGCACTCTTGAGTCCTTAAATCAGCAATCCTGTTAAAGTCAAGGGCTGATTATCAGAGATGATTGGGAAAATGTACTCATTCAACAAGGTTCAGTTTTCTAATCAATAATGACACTGAAGAGGACACAAAACATTACTTACCACTGAAAACTAAGACTGCCTCAGAAAATAAACATTAACAAATTACCCTTGTAATGAAAATTAAAACAAGATGGAATAAAAATGGAACAGTCAATTTCACTATTAAAATGAGTTACATTCTTATATTAAAAATGGTGGGATGAAGTATGTTTTCCTAGTCCTAGATAAAACAATTAATATGATCAAATAAATAAGTCGTTTCCCTATTATAAATCAAACTGCCTATTATTAATTTCTTTATGAGAACCAAATCTAATTTTACTAAAGCATTTAACAGAACATGTGAAATCTGCCACACAGAACTCTATGTAACTTGTAAAACCAAAGGCATATTTTATGTAATAAGACACCCCAAGTCAAGGATGATGTAGGACATTTTCCTTCAGTCTTGACTCTAAAGTGTCTTCTTGTGCCAACCCATACATCACGACCTGTAAGCATAGGACCTGAGCATTGTAGTCAATGTGTTGTGTTCTAATTTAAGTGCTAAAACGGTGGCTTTACCGACATGCTGGTAAAATGAAAGACTATCATCTACCAGCTTCCCGTAAGTTAAGTTTAAAATAGTGCCCTTAATGTTGTAGAGATCTTTCCTTCTCCCAGTCAGCAATACACAAATCTCAAGCCAGCTGCCTCAAATGAACCATCCTGATCACACCCTAGGCACCACCACCTAACTAGGACAGCAGAGCTACATTTTCCTAAGCAACAGGAAAAACACGCTGGCACAAGAACAAGTTTGGTGGCAAGAAGAAAAAGTTAGATTTACAATTCAATTCCAAAAAAATCCAAAGGTAAGCAAACAAAGGAAAAGTAAAGAAATTACTTTTACACACCAGGCTGTAGTTGTCATCTCTTACAAGGCAGAGGAATCACAAAGTTCACACTGACCTCTACTTTCTCTCCAAAACATTTATTTACAACCTAGGTTTGAGGTCAGGCAAGACAACAGAAAATAAATGGCATAAAACATACTCATGATTGTTTCTAACTTTTAATTGTAATTTACCAAGATATCCATGAAAATAATGTTTTAGGCTTAACTGACTTGACACACAAATATTTTTCATCTCCTCTGTCAAATAGATTTTTTTTTAAAGAGTAAGTAATTTCTGTTCTCTTGGTGAGAAGAGATGCATCAAAGCTCACACTTAGTGAAATGAGAGCAGAAATCTTACCGCCAAGCCCTAGCTAGAAGACGTTAGGAGGCTAACTACTATAAACCAAGAAATTTCAAAAGCCCCAAACTTTGATCCCTTTGATTTTCTTTTTAGGAACCTAAGATTCATCTTTTAAATTTGATGTAGCGTGCTAATGTGGCAAATCACTAAATACAAGCATGAGCAATTTAACTTCAAAAACATAGTTCTTCCTTAGAGTGTTAAATTAAAATGTTAATTTTTCATAACAGGGAATGACTTTTCTCTAAAGAACAGAGCATGTAAACTAAAACTTTCTCCCATCAGTATAGTAATGGAAGAATGAAGGTATTCTAAGCCAGGATAAAAAGCCAGACAGATATTATTTGATGTAACTCTACTTAGCAACTTATTATAGCTTATTAATTTAAGGAATAAACAGTTCATAAAATAAGACATGGAAACCTCTCCTACAGCATATAAGAATGCAGCAAAGGAGTGCACCATCCATGTCTAAAAAGTAGGCACTGTCTTTATGAGCCAAACATTGGATTAAAAGAGCATTTAACTAAATAAGCTTCTCATAAAACTCAGTGACACAAAGAGGATCTCCCTTCCAGGAGAACATAACCTATTGGAAGAAAACAGGAAAAGTCCTGAGTCAAAGCAATGTGGGAAATGCGAGTTGAATACTACAAGATTATTCAGTTTCACTGGTAAAAGCAAGGAAGGCGTTCAGAAGAAGTAGCAAAAGACACCTGGAAAGTAGGTAGAGCGTCAACAGGCAAGAAGAATAAGGGAAAAGGATGCAGAAGGAATATCAGCAAACAACTTCTAAGACAAATAACAAAAGCGGTTTAAAAATAAATTTCTCTATCTAATAACCATAAACTTAATTTCAGACACAATACATTGCTGAGGTGACACCAAAGTTAGGCAGCCTTGGAAACAGCACAGTAAAATGCTAATAAGCACGGCATAATGACAAACACTCACTGGCTTTTGACTGAAGAGAACACGGCCTAAACATTGGACATGTTTAGGCTATCTGAGCTATCCCCAAAGACTGTGATTGTTTTAGGTGTGCAATGATTATCATCCCATACATCCAAAAATGTCTCTGCCTAAAATATCCACAAGGACCCCAGGGAGCAAGTGTTAGTAGAATCCTGGCTGGCATCAAAGTACAGGGAGCTAGCCCTAGAAATAGAAGGCAAAGACAAAATCCAGGCCACTGTGGTGAAGAAAACACATGGGGAAAATAAAACAAAAAACTATGAAGAGTAAAACTGCAACCTTCTCTGAAGTTTAAAAGTATGTTCACAAGTTCCTTAATACTTCTCCTTTAAGAAGTCTCCAATGGACACTCCACACCCATATATACATATGCAGCACTAATTAGACTTAGTGGATTATAAAAAAGAAAAAAAATAATAATTATATGATGTTGGGAGGGCAACAGGGAGGTTATCAGAAAGGTAGCTGTTGGGAAAATGACAGTATGATTAAAATACATCTATGAAATTAAAAAAATAAAGATTACATTTTTAAAAAACTGGAGGAGTCTATTTCCCTCCCCCTTGAGTATGGTTTAGACTAAATGAATAGCTCCAATAGGCAGAAAAATAGAAGTGACACAGGATGGAATTTGGCCCTAGAAGGCACTGCAGCTTCCCTCCACTCTCATGTGCACTGAGGAAGTCAGCTACCAAACATTGAGGACACCTAACTAGCATATGGAAAGGCCCAAGTGAAGCCTCCTGCAAAGGGGTAAGTGATCCCCAGCCAAGCCTTTAGATGGCCACAAGCCTCGCTGACACCCTGACTACAACCACAAGAGAGACTATGGGCTACAACTTACTCAACAAGTTGCTCTTAATTTCGTGACCAACAGAAACTAAGATGGTGCATAACTATTATTTTAAGTCACTGAGTGTTGAGGTTATCAGTTAGGGAGCAATGTGTAATTAATGCATTCCAAACAAAATGATGTAATGTATTTTTTTCTCTTAGTTTTAAATGTTTAAAAAGTGCCATGAGTTCAACTGTTAAGAGTGATATTATCACTTTTGTAGGAAGGTGAGGGAAATGTAGGTAGTATTAAACATCTTGAAAAAAAAATACACCAAACCAGTAGTTTGTTTTAAATAATGATTTTTAAAAGACATTGTTTAAACAAATGGAGGAAAAGGGGTCTGGGTAAACAAACGGCAATAGCAACAAAGGAAGCTCTAAATTGAATGCTGCATCTTTAATGGTTTTCCGCAGTGTCCTCTCCAGCCTCTAACCTTTCCATGACAGCAAAGCTGCCACATTCTTTAGCACCATCTCCTTTCCCACCTCAGCCATCTGAGTTCAAAGAAAGCACTGAGAAGTTACATTTACTAACCTGGGTGCAAATATTTGGCAGACAGAGTGCAATTTTCACCATGTCAGGTAAAATGGACTGATACAAATGTTGAGCCTCTGCTTCTTCAAGAACCTGAAAACCAATGAAATACATTGTATGAACTAATAGTGGTGAAGAGTAAGCAACGAACATACATTTACGTTAATTCTGAATTCCCACTGTAAGGTACGGCGTCATGACCAACAAACACATGTAGAAACATACCAACAGGTCAGGTCCACCAATAAATTTACAAATTCATATCATTTACGTAAATGTCTTCCAAAACCAAAACATCCCCAAATCAAGTCTCTCTCACATCAACAACATTCAACAATAAATGTAATATTTATAAAACCAGCAGGTTGGTTTAGGAGGGAAAGGCACGTGCCACTAAGCCTAATGACCTGTGTTCATTCCCTAGACTCTATATAGTAGGAGAGAACTGATCCCACAAGATACCTTCTGACCTCCTTATGCACATACATGTGCACAGACACAAACAAACAAACAAAAAGTATACTTTAAAGTAATACTTGTAATTAAAAAATAGCACACTCTACCTTGGTTATGTCAGCTGAAAACTGAACACCAAGGCCTCTTTCAGAAACTCTAAAGGACCCACTTAATATTAACAGTCATTAACATAAAAAAAGTCATAATTATTCCGAAACATACTGTCTGTGCCTGAACTAACCCACTGGTTTTAATAATGTTGCTCATTATGAAGAAATAATGAGACTCCTTATGATCTTAAGAGTTTTCCCTTGCTAGGGACATTTGGGAAGGCAAAACCACATTTCATGTATCACACCTGAAAGTACACCAAGATGATTCATATGGTCCATGTGCATCTATTTTTCAACTCTACAGCAAGGAACACAGGATGGTAATTAATTAATTCTAAGGGAAACAACAAGTTGCAAAGAACAAAAGTGCTATTTATTAGCACCCACTGTAAAAAACAGGACTGATGAAGCTAAAATGAACCTGACAACTACGGCAGGACAATGGGGAAGCAGTAAGAAGGCTTCCGTTAGTGGTGTTGGGGGAATCTGAACAAAAGCCAAGTCCTAAGTTCCTACAGAAGAGAAAGTCAGTACACTAAAATGGGTAGGCATGGCAGCTGACCGCCTGCAATCCCAGCACTCCAGAGGTTGAGGCAGGAGGACCATTACAAGTGTTAGGCCAGCCTGGGCTACAGAGTAAAATTCTGTCCAGTTTGGAACAGTTAAGTGGCTACATCCTTAGAATAAGCCTCTTTTATGCCTGCTAAAAATAAAAACTAAATTTAAAAGGTATTCATCCTTTATTGCTTCATAGCCTTGTTTTTCTATATCTAAAAATGTTAAAAGCATATTAATGCATTTGTTCACAACATTCAGATGCTTCTAGTTCATAATTCCTTTATGCTTTGTAAATCTTTTCATTTTGAAGAAATTAAATATTGACAGGATGTCATAAAAATAGCATGCCAGGTGCCGAGCCCGCTGAGGAGTCGCCATGAGTAAGGCCCACCCTCCCGAACTGAAGAAATTTATGGACAAGAAGTTATCGTTAAAGTTAAATGGTGGCAGACATGTACAAGGAATACTTCGGGGCTTTGATCCCTTTATGAATCTTGTGATTGATGAGTGTGTGGAAATGGCAACTAGTGGGCAACAGAATAACATAGAAATGGTGGTCATACGAGGAAACAGCATCATCATGTTAGAAGCCTTGGAAAGAGTCTAAACGATGTCTGTTGAATAGAAGCATCTGCATCCCTCCTTAAAGGACCTGTTTGATTGTGATGTAGAATTGGGTCATGTATATTTTCATACGAAACTTTTTGCTAAATAAATTTTTGTGATACTCAAAAGAAATAGCATGCCAAAGTTCATTATACCTTTTATACATTTCCCCACAATAATCACATTTTATATGCCCTATACTACATTATTAAAACCAGTATATTTATTAATAGTGTTAAACGTGTGTGTGTGTGTCAAGGACCAAATATACCAGGGCATAGGGGTCTTTTCTGAGACTGTTTCTCCAACCAAGGACCATGCATGGATATAACCTAGAACCCTGCTCAGATGTAGCCCAATGCAGCTCAGTATCCAAGTGAGTTCCCTAGTAAGGGGAACAGGACTGTCTCTGACATGAACTCATCGACTGGCTCTTTGACTTCCCCCCTTCCTCGCCCCAAGGGAGAAGCAGCCTTGCTAGACCACAGAGGAACACATTGCAGCCAGTCCTGATGAGACCTGATAAGCTAGGGTCAGATGGAAGGGGAGGAGGACCTCCCTATCAGTGGACTAAGAGATTGGCAGGGAGGAGATGAGGGAGGGAGCATGGGAGGGTAGCATTGGGAGGGAATAAAGGAGGGGACTACAGTTGGGATACAAAGTAAATAAACTGTAACTAATATAAAAAATAAAAATTTAAATTAAAAGTGTGTGTGTGTGTGCCATTTTACATCATTTAATCACACATATATACCTGTAACCAACACCAAACAAGACAGAAATGTTCATTACAAAAACAGAACTTTCACTATCCATTTATAGTTACCCCTTATCCTCACTGACTCTAACACTAGCAATTACTATTTCCCAATCCACAACTTTAAGTCATGTGGACAGACCCATACAGTCTGTGTTCTTTCAGGTTGACTTTTCATTAAAAATTTTAAAAAGTCTCAAAAGTCCCAAGAGGTTGTTGTAGGTTCACACTTTCTCATGACTGTTACTAAGTGCTATTATGTGACTTAAACATACCATCAAGGAACATTTTGCTTTCCAGTTTTGGGTGCTATAAACTGCTGTGATTTGACTGCATCCTTCATCGGTTCGTGTGCTGGGAGACTGGTCCTCAGAGTGGCACAGATGGGAGGTCATTTAAAACCACTAAGCGACTAATCTTATTAGAAGGTCACTGTGAATCCTGTTCTTAGGGGCATTAATGTAGTTCTCCTGGGTCCTTAGCTGATACTCAGAAGAGGGTTGTTAAAGAAAAGCCCTTTCTATGTTTCTTTGGTCTCCTGTCTCACCATGTGGTATCTCTCTGACTCTCCATTCCATGATGTCGTTTTCAGAAAGGCTAAGAGATCCTTGAAACCTCCAAAACTGTGGGTTAACAAATGTCTTTTCTTTATAAAAAGTACCATTCATTTCTAATTTTATCTGTTTCCTTTCCCCTTCTTATGGGTTATTTTATTTTAGAACAGTAGAGAATTTCATTTGTGTATCAAAACCAAAAAACTTCCGACTGCATCTTTTTAAATAGAAAAATTAAGATAACTATACACAGAACACTCAAATGCATACTGATTAGTTTCTATATTAATCTTTTATTATTGGCCTCTGTCTCATATCTATCTATCTATCTATCTATCTATCTATCTATCTATCTATCCAAAAATCCACTTTTAAATGGATTTTTAAGTTACACCATTACATTTCTGTCTGTTTAACCATAAGTATAATTCTTGCAGAATTACAAGACGTTCAACAAATAACAGGCATGATTATAAACAGGCACAAATAAACAGGCACTCCCTGCCTTGTTTAACAGTTTACATCTACTGCCACTAGTCAAACTTTAAGAATTTGTTCTCATCTCTCTGTGATGTTTTCTTCTACTTGTTTAATGGGTCCTTCCTCCATGACTGTATAGCTCAACTCACATACAAGTAAGAGCAGTTATTATAGTTTATAATTATTTCATTAGTTTTTCCCCCTTGCCTCAAATGTACAAAACATTGAACATATAAGGATTGTGTTGTAAATATCTCAAATCCCCACTACCAAGCACAATACATAATAATACTCATCATTTGCTGAGGAAGAATGGGCTGACAATGAAAAAGCTGGGATGTAGCTCAGTGGTTGAGGCATTGCTTAGCATGTACAAGGCCACTGATTTGTTCTCCAATATCAGTACACACCGTAAAAATTAGTGGAGCTTGAGAATCACTATAACCCAGTGGGTGAAGTACACACTGTACTCATGGGAACTGAGTTGGATTCGCAGCAATCATGCTGTTAAAAAAGGATATCAAAACTAGTACAGGAGAGGAAGAGTCAGGTGTCAGGTAGATCCTTAGGGTTTGCAAGCCAGCGAGACAAGCCTAGCTAGCAAGTCCCAGGTCCCTGTGAGAGACCCTGTCTCAACAAAGCAAAACAAAACAACAAACAAAGTAACTAAGGTGGACTGCTCCTGAGGAATGGCACCTGAGTTTGACCTCTGGCCCCGTGTACACACATGCACATATGGGTGCACAGACACAGAGAGCCCAAACCAAACTGAAGCCCAAACACAGCTGGTGGTAATGAAAGCAGTTTGCCCCAAAGAGCCCTGAACGATACAAAGTACAAGAACACTCAGAGCAATTAAAGCTTAAAGGTAAAACAGTTGTCTTACAGTCAAAAACTGAGTGGTGGACTCAGTTTGGATGCCGGGGATTTTTCTCTTAGATTACAATGAAGGGCATTTTAGAGAATGGAGTGCTGGCCAAGAAACTGGAAAACTAGTTCTAGAGCTAGATGCGCATATATTCTCTCAATATAGAAAAACCCTTACCCATAACATGGACACTCCTATGACTCTGCTTAACTCTTGGTTCTGAAGGTTCTAATACAATGGTTTTGAGGTACACCGTAACTCCATACACAAATGCAAAGTATATTAAGTAATGGGCCAGTAATTCAGTGGTCTGAAGCCTTCCTCTTAAAAAACAAAATAAAAACAACATGTCAGTAAACCACCAAGTCCTACTGACTAATCCAGCAGGTCCACCAGAATTCATGACCCTCTCTTAACCACTAAGCTACGCTGACTCAGACCCTCATCCACTCTTACCATTCCTTGTCATTTACTACATGATCTGTGTCCTGCTGCTCAATCCCCTTTGGTTTCTGCCAAAGTACATCCTTGTGTTTCCCTGCTCTGCTAGAAAGCTTCCAACACCTTTTCAATATAGTACAAACTCCATGAATTAAGATATATGTGTACCTACATAATATTAAATATTGATATTAGATAATTAAGCTGTAGATGTCTACCTAAATATTAAGATATTTAGCCTATCTTGACCCAGACGCTTATCTGGTCTTACTTAGCATATAACAAAAACTGATATCCACACAGACACATACACACCCTCCTGTATATTTTACATACTTGGCAGCTCAGTTCTTTAAGTCTTCTACAGCACTTACTTATACTTCCTCAGATGCAATTTGTTCCATGACTGTAATGTCTTTCCTTCGCTTCTAAACTAACGTAATTTTCTTGCTATCTTGTTCAAATAATAATTCTTTCAAAGTCAATCCATTTTTCCTTTCTAGTTCTCTCTTGCAAATTTTCTGTGTTTTAAAAAGTAGGATCCTTAAACTTTTCTGCTTTATGCTGTTATTTATGGACATGCTTTCTAGCACTTACTAGAAGTTTCTTTAATACAAGATTAATGGCTGATTCACCATGTCTAGAACAGTGACATTCATGTGTAACAGTGTTAATAAAAATACCTTACCAGTCATCTATCTCACTTAGTTTATTTCACAAAGCTCATCCTCCTTTCCATTGCCTTCCAGAGTCTCTACTGCTTCAAAAAATTACTACGGTAGGTTCTTAAAAGGTGACTGAACTGTAAAGGGGCTCAGTTTTCTATAATGTATCTTAAGCCTACTGGAAATTTCACTAGCATATCACAAGTCCCTTCAGGAGGCAAGTTCCTATTTCAAAAATTAAAACAAAGGCAAAATTATTAAGCTCTTTAACATCAACTTATTCTTTAGGCATGTTTCAGAGTACAGAAAAATTAAGCATTAAAGGAAAAAGAAAAATTATATCACTAAATTATGTAAGAGTAAAAAAAAATCAGCTAGAGAAAGCGAATGTTTCTAACATTTATCTGTATACAACTCAGGCTGACACTTTGAAGAGAGGAATGTGACAGCTTACAAGAAAACAAACTCACTCATTCTCCTTAATTTCTGAAAGCTCATGAAAGTCTGACAGGCCAGCCATAGGGTAATCTCTCATGTGTATCACCCATCACAATTATGGCTTCAATAACAACGTTCTCTAAATTTTAATACAGAACAACTGGTTTTCAAGAAATACCCAGCCTAATATTTTCATATTTAAGAAGGCATGCTTCACAAATTAGCAGCTAACTAATCTGTAGCTCTAAATAAGACTGTCCAAACATTTTATTTTATAGCATCAAAAGAGGTATAAAATAAATGCAAAAAGCAGACGATGTGAAGGCCAAATGACTTCAGGGGTCTGAAAGATAGAGACAAAGCAAATGCTATCTACAGAGCCACTCCAACTCTATGATTCTTTTTTTTTTTTTTAACCAGGTATACAGGGTTTCCCTATCATAACTCAAATCTGGGAAATACTGACAAAAATCGTAACTCATTATAGCATGAGTACGCTCTAAAGATAAAAGAGAATCTGTTTTAAGGTACTTGTCTTTTAACTCATATTGGACAGAATCTACACTTATCCTTAGATTGATTTGACAGTTATCTGCTCAGAGACTGTTCTTTCTTCCTAGCTGGAGGGTGGAGAATGAGGGCATAGCAGGCAATGGAACCTTTATTTTTAATTGGCAAATTCTTTATTATTTTTCTTAGTACAATTACAATCATTACTATCATATGATTTACTTTGTGCCTTGGGACAGTTATTTACTAGATATTGTGTAAGTTAAACTCTGAAAACTAGATAAAGGCTGGCTAGTTTCAACTTGAC